TTAAAATAATAAATTATCAAAGTTTTAAGTTTTNATAAATAAATTAATTTTATAACTTAATTTATACGATATAATACGTTTTTAGTGCCATATTAAAGCACGTTTTCAAGTAAGAAACATACAATTTGTTTAATTAATAAAAAAGACTTTGATATTTTATAAATTATAATAAAAAACATTCTTAAAAACTTCATTTTTAAATTGTAAAGAAGATAATTTTATTACTAAAAATGCTCATCTAGACAAAAATATCCGAATTAAAACCAGATACCTAAGTCGAATGGATGAGGAGGTTAAAAATGCATTCCTGAACAGACCCAGGATATAATTTACTGTAGAATGTCTCCCTAATAACCAACTCGTGCATACAGTTACTTACTTTATAATTAACTAAAGTAATTCTTGGAAGAAATCAAGGTTTTATTTTATAACCTGTAATCGTACACACGTGTCAATATATAAGCATATAATAAAATCATTAAGGTTAATATCTAACGAATATTTTGTCTTTTATTATAAATATTTGAGTTAATTTTGGATACCTGCGGATGTTTAATTTATTTTTCAAAATATCCAGACTTCTCTTTTAAAACTCATAAAGTTAGATACATCCTGTTTATCCAAAAAATCATTGGAAGAATGGTATAACTTTAACAATATCTTAAGTGTTTTGCATGTAAACAAACTAGAGAAAATACATTTTAAATAATATTTTAATAAGTTTAATATTTAAAAAGTAAATTTTAAAGATTTTTAAACATAAATTTATATAAATTTTTATCGTTAAACATTTATAAAGAAGGAGTAATTTAAGTAGAAAGAAAATATTTAGGTGTTTGTTTTTGGTTAAATTTCTTTGTGTTTTAGCATTTTAAAAATATTTTATAAGTATTTTTTTTATTTAAAGGCAAGAAATTAGTCTTTTGTACTAAGAAAAGCGTTAATAAATTAAATAAATATAATAAAAATATGTTTACTTGTATGTAATTAAACAAAGTAGGTTTAAGTCATGCGAAAAATTCAAATAGAAAAAAAACTTAAAAGGCAATTTTATGTAATATTTACAAAATAAAGTAAATAAATTTACTTCTTGAACGTAATTAATTCGAAACCTTTTAAGTAAAAACGAGGATGTTTGTGTGTCAATGCCCCTGACTTCATTACAACCATCGCCTATCTTATCAAGAAGTGTTAACTTAACCCAGTTGAACTCGCAAATTAACAAGAAGAATATAGCAAAAGAAAAATTAAAAAAAAAAAAAAAGAATAATAAAATAATTTTCATCAAAGATAATGCGTAGGTTTTAAAATGATTATTCTTAATACGATGATAAATTTTAAATAAAATTCCAAAGAATTATCTTTCTTAGAAGGACGAAGAAGCTTTTCATATGTACTTCTTGACACGTGTCCGTTCCATCAGCCAGATTTTGTTTTTACAAGTGCACAAAAGAGGATTCGACATCTGTTATGAGCTTTTGCTTGAAACAACAAAGCAAAGACTTAAAAATCCTTAGGGAGCCGCTTGTTTGCGACTAAATTTGGTAGATCAAACTTTATATTTTAACATCACTTTGACACCGAATCATGAATAATTGAATTTTAAATTCAAAACATTTTTATTAATTTATTATTAATGTATTCAAATCAGTTTGTTCCGGTTCGTAACAGGTTAAAGAACAATAAAGATTTTATGATTTTTGATGAAATTTTAAACACTTTATAAGGAAATTACCAGATGGTTGCTATAACATTAACAAGAGACACGTAAACATAACCGAAAATTTAATTTTTACAAAGATGTTTTGACAACTTAATTAAGTGTTTTGATTAAGTTTTAAAAATAAAATTTATCGGCGTTTAATTATTCCAATTTAGAACTAATTTAAGTAAATTACAATGGTGTAAATTGGGATTTAAAAAAAGGTACTGTATATAAACACGAATATAAAAAAAATGCCACTAATTAAATTTAGATAGTAAAACTCCTATAAGAAATTTAATGTTTTAGATTAAAAAAAAATAATAATAAACGAAATTTTATAAGAAAAATTGTATTAATAAAAAATTCTGAAAGATTATCCGAGGATATTAACCTAAATTTGGTTATAGAAGTCGCACGAAGTTATGTACATTACTTCAAACGGTTTAAGGAAATTTTTGAAAAGAAAAATTTTTCTATTTATAAATTCATCGACAGATGGTTCCAATCATAGTCTAATGAAGGATTTAAAACGGTGACCCGCAAGTGGAAATGAATAATTGAAGCGAGATGGAAGGAGAACACAGGTGGAGAAGATGTCCCGCTGTGATTCTTGTCTTCGACTGATTGAATTACGATATCATAAGATGATTATGTTGTGGCCTAGTAATAATTTCAACTACAAGTTTATTAAGTTGTTTAGAAGAGGTTCTAACCTATCTAACGGTTGTGACAATTGCTACATATAACACTGCAAGACTTTATCTTGAAGCAATAGTTATAAATTTCAAACTTCCTTCATCTATATATTTTATAGTTAAAATGGGTCACATAATTTAGTTTCTTTAATAATTTCTACAGTTAATCCGCATCATTTTTATTAAGTAAAGCTTTTACCCTTAAGAAAATCCAGTTTTTTTTTTCTAATACACAAGCTTTATATATTGTTTTTGAAGACGTAAAGAGGCTCCTTACAAATTGAAGTATAACAGGAACGAAAAGGCTCAAATTACATCCTTTATCCTGTTGTGATGAAAGTGCTGTTCGGTTCAAACTAGGAGGAAAAAAAAGAGAGATTTATTTATGTTAATTTATACCTTTTTATATGTAAAAATTGATGTTCCAAAGACGCACAGGTGTTTGCTTAACCTTCGTATATATGTATAATCAATTTTTTGTAGCCTGATCGGTTATTTTTTATTTTTTTTGGAATTTTGACACCTATCATACTAGGCGAATACTTGAATAAAAAAGTGCTATGTTCAGTATGTAGTCTGACAAAGTGACGTTTATACAGCTGCACGAACATTACCCACGTTAATCACGTATTCGTGATTTCTTCACTCATGATATGCCCTGGTCAGCTCATATTTGTGGAATGTTCTCAATTAATATGCATGCCTCGTGTTTAAGATGCACCTGTTCATTTGTAGTAACATAATAATTAAGTTAAAGAAAGTAATTTTTGATTTACTTTCCCTTTTTTCTCCGCCCTTTTTTTTTCCTCTAAAAATTATTGAACGTATTTCTTTTTTTTTTTTTAAGTTTTCGCTTCTAAAACATTTGCCAATTGTTCTGTTAAACGCAATTTTAATTAATCGATTCACTTTTGAAGTATTTGTTGAGTATATTTTTAGTGTCGATGATTCATTTTACGAAGAAAAGTATTATTGCGTACGTGTTCGAGACTGGTGTCTGTCTGTCTTTAACTTAATTGAACACCTATCTTTAACACAAAAGTTTCGATTGCTGTGTAAAATTAACAGAATAATCTCCAGATTTATACGCTAAATAAGCTTAAAATAGTTATTTAAGCATTACTTAATTTGAAAAAACTAATTAAAATTAAAAAAAAAAAGTGCACTTAACATCAACAATAACATTATGCATAATTCAAAAGAAAACTTAATTATGTAAATCCGAATGAAAACAAGAAAATTAAATGTTCGAGCTTCAGGATCAAATTAAAAATCAAGTTTAAACTCATTAAAGTAATGAAATGAAATAATTTTTAAAAAATTGCAATTAAAATAAGAGATGATAAATAATAAAAATTACAAAAGAATAATTTAAAATCTTTAAAAATAGAAATTTTTAAACGATTTAAACTAGTCAAAATCGAAGATTAGTGTTTAAAAATCTACACTGATGAGTCCCTTCATGGACTGGTGCCAATTCATTAGTTCCGAACTCAACGTTACTAATCGGAGATTCCAGCTAAATATAACTTTTAATAAATCAAAGAGTATATAGACCTTTTTTATATACATATAAATATATCATAACTTCATGAAGTTAATCGTAGGATCAAGCTGATTCTTAATTTGGAAGCTATTCTTCGAATTCGAAGATTTTTGTTCGAGCAAACAGTAAATTCTCATTCGTTACTGTGCATTGCTTCTTAGGAAAGGAAGAGAAGTCAAAACGGAGATTGACTTAGAAGGAAGATTGTGAAATATTCTAGATATTCATGACTGAATATCTAGAATATTTCAGAATATGAAGATACAATATCACAACAGAACTCTAACTGTAAAGCATGGCAGCAGGTGCAGCTGCTATAACTTAAAACTGTTAGTGTCATTCAAAGAGAAAACCTTGAATATTAAGAAAAATTTTATTTTGTTATTAAATTTCTATTCTAAAATAAATAGATAAAGATAAGCATTTTTAATTTTTAATAATATTGCATTTAAATATATATATATGATTATTAGGTATAGCAGCTTCAAGAAGAGGTACATCTGAAGCATCTTCACTCGAAACTATTAACTTTTAACTAGAAAAAACTAAAAGAAGCCTTTCTATATTAGGAAAAAACCTTTAAGATCATTACTAAAACACCTAAAAATGTTTTCTACATAAGTTTTACATAAAAAATCACATAATTTCCCGTGGTCTAAGGAGCGAGAAGGTAAGTTATATTTATATATAAGGTATGGGTGTCCTTAATTAAAAAAATAAGTTTAACTTCCTGGAGGGGAAAATTTTAGAGTACCTATTATTAGTATTAATATTTATATTTTCGGATAAAATAAACAAATATTTTTTTCAGTATATATCCAAAAATTTAATTCAAAAATATTACATAAGTTAGCATGGGGATCGAAGCGACTTTCTGAGTCAAATTTTTTTCTTATTAATTATTTACGGTTAAGCATAGTTCTCGTTAAAACTAGATCATTATTTATACATATATTTCATCGAAGTGTTACACAAAATTATATACACTAACGATGTTGGTAAGTTTGCCAAGAAAACCTACCACACCCTGCAAGAATAGACCCGGTCCATGCGCCTCCCACGTCAAGCAAAGCTCTTATGCTATGGCAGTTGAGTGAGGAAGCAGCGAGAGTGAGTGCAACAGGAGTTTTATCAACCTCATCCAACACACTCCAGAGACAGTATATTGATAAAATAATTCGCAGAAGACTAGAAAAATCTCTTATATTCTGGCATATGTCGACTGCATTTTTACCATCCAACCAGCTGGAAATTTTTATATAAAAACAGTATCTTTGTTCATTCTAAACTGTTGAATTTTAAATCGCCTGGACTTACGGAAATAACTACATATAAAGGTAAGTCATATACAAAATTTAAAGTTTAGTAAAAAAAAAAAAGTAAAATATCTTTTATGGCTGAAGAAGTAGCTTCTGCTAAGTCACTCCTCGTAAACAGCTGACATTTCAAAGCTACTTGAAGCCTCCCTTAAAAAAAAATACTATTTTTTTTTATAAATAGTAACTTGTTCCGGCTAAATAGTATATATTCAATCAGGACTAGCATACCAGAGAAAATAAATAATTGTTATAAACCCTAAGTTGATGGCGTTTGTATAAGCAATTTTCTACTTAACTTCAGCCATTAATTTGATCTTAACCTCATTTAGTCAAGAGTTTTGACACAGTTAATAGCTCCGTTTGTCATATTTTACTATTAACTTTAAAAAAATAGTTCAATTTTTATTTATATTTAACAGTTTTTATGGATAATTTCCGTTAGAAAATGATTAAAATTTGGCATTAAAACCATTCTCGTCTTCGTTAACTAACAAAAAAATTTTCTTTTTAACGAATAAAATTGATTTTAAATTGAGCTATTAACTAGATTTTTAATTATAAATATATAAATATTTATTTACAAAATGAAAATTATTTAAATTTAAAATTTCAAAGATTATCCTGAAGATGAACCGGAATAGAAGAAAGTAGGGATAACGGACGGAAGTGCAAAGAGCGCTTCTATGTCCGATTTTGTTACATCTGTGGCCCACATGTGTTGGTGTCAATCTATCCCTGGGGTAGGTGAGGGGGCACCTCTTCACACAAATGCCTATATACACCAATTCTTCAGATTTGTCAAAAACCCGAAAATTCCATTCAACTAAAACATCATCTGTTAAAGCTTAGAACCCAATTCGCTCCATATTTTAAAGATTTTCTGTACTTTTTTGAAAATATTTAACATTTTTAAAGAAAATTTACTCTAGGAAACCTCAATTCATTTAGTTTTTCTTCTAAAAAAATCATCTTAGTAGGGCATTTACTGTAGTAAGGAGCCAAGTTGGTCAAACGAAATTTGGCAGAGAGAAATAATAGGGCACATAAAATCGTCACTCATCCTAATTAATATATATATTTTTTTAGAGTTTAGTACACCTTCCAAAAAAACTTTCTACTTTCTTTCATCAACGAATTTGATCTCGTATTTTTTTGAAGTGTTTAAAACGGTTTAGGAATTTAAAATTAGGAGTAAAGCAGGAAGTAAAAGAAATATATGCTAATATTCATTCCCAAATTAGTAAGAAGCCACCTGTGTTGTTGTAATTAATTTGATGCAGGAAATACACGTCTAAAATCTCCATTCTTCTAAAATAAACAAGAAAAAAAAAGGCATTTTCCACGGAATTAATTCGCAAATAAATATTTACCAATCTATTCTATGAAAATCGCTTTATTTTATTTATTTACTTCCATTTTAAACAGTTTACTTTTAACTACAAATATTTTTTTTTTTCGCTACGTTCTTTCTAGGAATGTTTCAAAAAATAAATTTTATTTACGCTTTTATGCTTAACAAACTACTAATTTTGGATATAAAAGAAATTATACGATGTGTTTAACGTACATATTTGGAAAAATTATAGCATAATTTATCATATTTTAGCTAAATATGTACAGTACTTTACACGATAAGGATTGTACGTTATTTATTTTACTCGGTTGAGGATCGTACTATTTATTTGAGTATTTTACTAACAAAGGTTGTGTACCCAACTATTTACGTTAACAAATTAAATGTTATATAATTCTTATATATTTGTGTACATTTAAGTTTTGGTTATAATAGATTTTACGTATCGTATTTTGCTTGTTATATATTTACATAATTATTCTTTTAAGTTTATATATAGTATATACACGATACCTTTTACTCGATGTACAATGCTCAGCGTACACCACGTATCATTTATTTTGCTTGATATACAATATATAATGGAGATTGTATGCTTGATATATATTGTACGTAATGAGGATTTAGTACCATATTTTATGTGCGCTATTTTTTGTTAGACATATATTGTATACGGTGTGAATAATGTTATCTTTTAATTATCATCGCCGAATGTAGAAGATGAAGTTAATTGGTAATGTTCCGACTTTCCCAGGCAGGAGAAGTGAAGGTGTCGGTTACAGGGATTGTGCCTTCTCCTGTTTCATATTTGGCTCTCGATGTTAATCGGAAACATTGTTTACTGCTTGTTTCATTCCAAATAAACATAAAGAAAAAGATAATTTCCTTTACTTTAGCATTAAATTTTCAAGAAACTTATCTGATAAAAAACAAATTTAAAGTTGAAATGTTTTAAACTGTTTGTATATCATATAAAAAATCGATTTTTTTCTTTTTAAATTTATTTTATTTTCTTTTTTTTGTAGAATTCGTTATTAAATTGGTCGTTTTTGCGGAGTAAGCAATCTTCTTTAAAATATTTTAATGCCACGTCCAATTTAGTAATATCTTTTTTGTAAAAGCCGCTAATTCTTAGAAAGAAGCAATCCTGATTTAACTCTAGCAATTTAGCTGACAGTTTTCTCTCTTTAAATTATCCTAGAGTTTGTGTCCTTCCATTACCGGACTAAGAGTTGCTGCAATAAACAGATTTCAGTTCTAACAAAGTGTACTTTGTGTTTTTATATCGAACTAGAAAGGATCCCTGCATCTTCTCATCTTGCTGTCTTTTCCTTCATTCTTACGGGACCTTTGGGGTTAATTTGGCAGTGTCGACCTCGTACAGTTTTAGATTTATCATTTACTAAAGTCGAATGCACGTAATTAATCGCTGTAAGTTGATTGCAGCGTGAGAATGTTTCACCTTACATAGGCGATTCGAACGGCTCCTGACGTCCCTCTGGATGTCGTGTGACGGAAACTTCGTCCATACATCACTTCTACTGCACGTGTGATACTTCTTGAGAGAGACAGACGGCATCTGGGGCTCTATCGTCCCATCCAGATGTCTTAAAAATCATTCGGGTCTCGCAATTTTAATGAATATTTGTTTCTTAAAATGGGGCGCGTATGTAAATGAGGTTTATTTAAGATATCGTCCAATTAACGAAGGGTTAAGTTATGGAGTTAGAGAATGAGAGTCTAAGCGGAGACGTCGTTTCCGGGTCAATAGTGATAGCATCTGCTTCACCACAATCGTACTTTATACACGTCTTGTTCGGACTGGGAGACCCCAAAGGTCGTTTGCGCTCCTTCCCTCGTAACCGTCGGAAAGGTCACGTGACGGATGAGGGTACGTCCTTCCCAGAATCTTTCCGACCATCTGGAGACCTTGGACCGAAGAACTGTCCCCTTCTTTCGTCCAATGGCGACATTTTTATGGCTATTTGAAGGACGCCTGACAAGGGGCGTCGTCCTCTTTTCTTTAGAAGGTCTGTTTGCATCTTTAAGAATAAGTTCTGACCCCATATAAAATGAATCACTCAATGTTTTATGATTTATAATTAAAATTTAGTTTGTTTTTTTACAATAAATACTCGTTTCTGTTTCCTTTTTCAATTATTTATATTAAAGATACGAAGCTATATATTTATTTCGTATCACAATAAGTCAATTTATAAAATTTACGATAAGATCAAACATTTTAAAATAAAATTAATTTTTCTCAAAATGTTCGTATTTTTTTCGTATACAAAAATTAACTTATCATTTAAAATTTTGCGTAAAATCCCTCAAATTCCAAGCGTTTTATTTATAAAAATAGTAAAGTAGCATTTGTAATTGAATAAAAATCGTTCTTTATAATTAAGTTAAGAAGGAAAATTGTAGCAATTATTTTTATTACAAATTTTTAAGCATGTGGAACTTATAAACATTATTTATCCCTGGAATGACCTAAAGGTTAGCCAGGTAATATGCAATAGAAGAAAAATGGAGCCTCAAATGGATTTGTATAATTGGAGTTTAAGGATGTTTCTGTTAATGAAAACCAGATGAAAAGTAAGCTATACCATTACAGAATGAATATTTACAGACTATTAAGAATATACAGAAAATCTTATCTTTAATTTTGCAAAAGATTTTATAAGCATTATGGCCACACACGACGATTTATATAGTTGTTTTTTTGACCTCCTTTAATCAATTGATTGTTATCGTTTCATAACAGCTTTTGGGACCTTGGCATCTACTAAAATGGTTCTATTGTCTTAAAAAAATAAATTTAACTCTTCTATTGTCTAATTTAATTGTTTTAAATTGTTTTTTTTTTTAAGTCTGGGAAGTTAAAATATTCCACTTTTATTAATTGATTTCTGCAGGGTTGTAGGCCCTAAGATTTCTAAGAGAATTGAACAATGACAGGAAGGGACAGGAAAAATCACTTCAATACATTTACTTGATCAATTTAACGTTTCTCACGTTTACTAAGGGGAATTCTTTTTTTATATATAAGTGAAAATGTTATTTAGTTTCATTGAAACTAGCTCAAAAATTCGTTTAATTGGACTATTGTCAGAATCAACGAAGACAAACGATGATAATCGTAGTTTATCTTTGCAGCTGTTTCTTATTATTATGAAATTAATATTTAAAAAAGAAAAACGTTTTTTAATAGTTTAAACTTGATTCTTTTATTCCTTAAAAAATTGAATAATAAAAAAAAAAGATGAAGCATTATGCTATTTATAGGGGATTATTTACAAATGTCCAGGCTGATTTCTTATCTTAGTAAACATCTTGCTAAGGAGGTTTTAGAATGATGAAAGGTCGAATTGCTCTTAATGTTTAAACAATTTAAATCTTATATATAACTGTTCTTGTAATAGTTTAAAATGTAAATGTAGGTTATTTTGGAAGTTCCTTAATGCTTAAGTAGAAAAGAAACTCTTAAAACTATGCTTGAAATTAAATTTTACGTTAATTTTTTAAGTTAAATTGAATTTGTTTTGCTGTAAATTAATTAATAAATATATTTTTTGTAATTACAACTTTAAATGTAAGAAAATTGAACTTAATCTTTGCTAGTTTGATCAGTTTAGAGTTATAAAAATTATTTATAAACTAAATTTAAAAAATCTTAAATATTTTAAAAATTATTTAAAGCTGAATATTTATAACAAGAATAATGCAGTAATATATTTGACTTGATATTTTATCTAGAAACTGTACTAAATAAACAATATTAGATACCAAAGTTAATGTTAAAGCATACAAATTAATCAAACATACTTTAATAATTATCTATTAGGTGCCACAACATGAAGAGTGAAGACAGAACGTCATTCATTTGAACAGAACGATGTGCAAAAATCAAGAACTGAGACATATTTTTTTGATAGTGACTTGCGGAATTTTAGCATTTGGAAATGCTAAAGCTGGAGGTAATTTTACTTTTTAAAATTAATTAATTTAAGCTTGTTAAATAAAGCATTTAGTCCGTCTTTTAACGGTTCATTTAGAACAATTTGACCTCTTTTTTGGGTGGGGATAAGGAACAACAACAGGATAGGAGGGGCACATGTTCTCACACCTCCTAGAACTGCTATGTGACATAAACATCTCTGGTATGTTCAACTTAGCAATAAAGGAAGGCCTTATCTTAATTAATATGGATGAATCCTTTTCGATAATAATATCTAGACTCATCACAAAAGAAAAGGGCAAGGGAAAAGTTTTAGAATCATGAAAAAATAGCTTAAAAAAACTCTGATATGAACCTACTGTAAGGTGACCCTTCCAATGACATTGTCCACATGGCCCGAAGAAGTTGCAACTTCTCCCGAGTTCAAAAGGGACGAAAGATTCGAGAACACGTAAAATATAAAAAATTTTCTTGATCTTTTAAGACTTATTTTTATGAAATTATATATATTTAACTATAATTTACTTATTAAACTCTTATATAAGGTCGTTTCGAGTTAAGCATCAGCATGCGAAAACGTTAAAAATTCATTAAAAAAAAAAGGAAATAAAATTACGATACAGTTCTTTATAAAGTATAAAAGGGTCGTTATGTATAAAAGAGGTCTAAATATATTGCATTTTAGGCATGAAAGAGTTAAGCTCTTGTTAAGTAAATAACAAAAGGCGTTGGTAAAGATATCGAATTACAACTTTGTTGATTCACTGCTTGCTCTGTCCATCATGAACTCGTTTATTATGTTTTGTTCAGTCACCACGTGTGGAAGGACAGTTTTTTTTTCCTTTAATAAAAAAAAATATAGCAATGATCTTTAAAATATTGCTAAGAAAAGAAACAAATAAATCGTTTAAAAATAACAGTTTAAATTCACATCCGAAAAGCGAATTCGTTTCGTGCTGTGTAAGGTTAAAAGTCAAGAGTTTGGAGACTTTTGGAGAAGCTCGAGATTTCTTTAAGGATCCTACTTGGTTAGATAAAAATAAATGATAAATTCGAAACATTTGGAATTAAGAATCTATCGGTAATCAATGGATGGATGGAAGTGGTGCAGCTCATGAAATCGGATATTAGCACGTGCGTTAGAGGCACCCCTAGGGATAGATACCCGTCCCCGGCGGGAGACTGATGAAGCAAAGCAGAGATGAAGCAAAATAGAAGGCTACGGCACAATTAAAGGATAGGAATCAGATAAGAAGCATATGCGCATATCAACAGCACTAAATTTCACTTTATAATAGGTAGATGTATTGCTGTTAGTAGAAGAGAGATCCAATTAATATTAATGGCAGTAAATTACAGTTTATAATCGAAAGATAACGTAAAACATTGATTACACGTTGGAGGTAGTAATAAATATAAAAAAAATATATCGCAGATAAAAAATATCCTGTCTTCATGATTAACTTTTATAGATTTTTATATGAATTAAGTTGTTTTTTTTTTATTTGAATTTGGTTTGTTAACGAAGGCGTGCTCTTTTTTATACAAAGTATATAAATTACGACAGGTTTAAAGAACGTGAAATGCATTTAATAATAAGCCTTCATGATATTGTATTTGTTTGTTAAGTTTAAATGAGAATTTAGTTTAATTAATGGCGATTGAAAATAGTTTAACCAACGACTAGAATTGCACATTTGATTTCTATTTTAACTGGCCACCCGTAGAGCAATCAAGTTTGTCAAGTAAATTATACGAGCTGAAATCTATTTTAATTTACTTCAATATATCTGTACGTATGTCTTTAATTTTACTTTTTATTAAATCACTATTGATTCCATTTTCTGCATTTTGAGCAATGTGATTTGCTATTTTGGTTAAATGACCCATATAACCTCGTCTATGTTTTCCTGGTTTTGTCCTAAATTATAAAAAAATGAAACTACATTATAAGAAAGTAACTATTGAAAATTAAAACTTTCTCATAAATTAAAATGATTTAGATTTTTGTGCACGTTACGGCCAAACCCAATTCAGGCCAAACGGGTTTATCCTACGCGTGTCAGGATATACTAGTTTAGCCCAGGACAATCTAGGTCAAACTAGTTAAGCCTAAATACTTTAGGCTTAACTAGTTTGACCTAGGCTGAACTGACTTAGAATTATTATTCAAGTATATTAATGGTTAAAATAAAATTAAAAGGCAATCAATTAGATGAACAATATCTATTCAAACATAGTCTACTTAATTATAAAAAACAGTATTGATTAGAAGTGACACAACACTTGTACAAAACTATAAAATAAAAATAAACTAATCAGTACTTCTCAGTTTGNAATTTTAAATAAAAATTAAGTTCTTATAAACTATATTTAAAGCTTCTACTATGAAATCTCAATAGATAAACTATGAAAAATTTTAAGACCGTGTCTTAAATTCTTGAAGAAACTCATAAAACTTTAAAAATAGTTGTAGAATTTTCCAGAAAAATATGCTTTATCAGGATGACATTTTTTACAGAGAAGAAACTGAAATACTTTCTAAATATGGACTAACTATAGCATGACAAGAGCAAGGAAGGAAAAACTAGAAGTAGAGCAGAAAAACTAGGGGAAAAAAAAGGAAAAAGATAAATGATAACTTCGAAAAAGTTAACTTGTCCAAAATACAAGAACGTAGAAATGATCTAAAAGCTTAACACCTTTTCACTTCAAAGGCAGAAAGATGTCAAGCAATGCTCTTATATAATCTATCTGTCAAGTATAGTGTCATACATTAAATAATATGTAGCAGCATTCATCAGTGATGATGTAATCGTTTGATTTAAATGATCGTAAGTTATTAGAAATAACTGTCTAATAATGACTGATCTGTCGCCTGCAATAATCCTGTCTGGACTTAGGTCGGCACGGTCTTCATAACTCCTGGTTTGTCAGGATTATCTAGGTCTTTCTTTAAGCTATAGGTCAATCTCTCTATATAGTTTCACTAAGAGACCTTTGCACTTCTTTACAATCTTTTATAGTTTTACTGTCCAATAATGCATATTTACAGTATATTAATGAAAAATAAGCTTTAATATATCGAGCATTTAAGTTAAGATTGCTCCTGTCCTGATTTGAAAATCCTATACTCCATTTTTTTTTGTTTTCTTCTGATAAAAAGTGACAGTAGAAGCAATATTTCTAGAATCTATGATAGCACGTGCGAAGGAGACAGCCAGGGCTGTTCTCTTTACTTCTTTCTAAGTGAATGGAACCAGTGTTTTGTCAACAAGGTTCCCTTGATGTATGTTTTGCAGAGGAAAGCTGGTAAACAGATACGAGTTCTCTTGCTTTTTAAAAACTTTCTTATTCACAGATGTCATTGTCTTTCTGCCATTGCTTTCTATTGTTTTAAAAGTTTATTTTTAACTAGTTTTTATTTATGAATATTTTTTTTTTATATTTCTTTTCTTACGTGTGGTAATCAGTCAAGTTTGACGTGTGAGTGTGGAATGAAAAAAACATGGCGTATTTGACAATGATAAGTTGACTGAAGAGTTGAAGAAGTCAACTAGATAACGAACACACTTAATAAGTTGTATTTTCTAGTTTTATTTCCAGTTTTTGGTATCTATATTTAGTAAAAAAGCTTAGTTTCAGATTTCAGAATGCGATTTACTTATACAAGAAGTATGCAGAACTTAAGAAATTTGCTTAGTCCATTTTTACAGCTTAAAATCAAATGGAATAATCAATGTACATCACCTCAACATCTTTTAACTTCAGTACAACATTGGATTGGTCATCATCGTATGTCTTTAATTTTGATTTGAGCCATATCTCGAAGTAATATTAGCCAGATCGACGATCATGGTCGCTTCTAGTGACGGGAAAGATATATTTTTGAGTAAACTGAGCCCATCCATCATAAGTAAAGGCGTAAAAACCTCCTTCTTCCTTCAAGTAACTTGTTAAGAAATGATGAATGTTGAAAGTAAATCTGATAAATATTTTATAACATGCTATGTAATAATGAAAAGTGCTTAATAAGAAAGAGTAAATAAAGTGTGTGAAATGGGAGTTCTGCAAAAAGGTCATGAAAAGAAGCAGTAGCCATTTGGCCTGGCTTCTTTGCTGCACTAGGGTCAAGTTCGAAATCTTCCAAATTATTTCTCTTTGGGGTGGGATTCGTCATTCATCTTGTGGTATTAGCACTTCTTTGAACGAAATTGTTATAGCCTACTTCTAATCTGAACTTTCTTCTTGTTAAAATCAATATTTTAGACCTACAAAATACTTTAATAAAAGTTAGTTTTCTATAATAACAAGTATACTTTTAATTAAAATATTCTCAATTCTTTTTAGTTAAATACTTTTCAAATATGATTTTCATAATTTAAGAGCTCACAATGTTATTTTGTATAAGTAGACTAAAATATAAAATTTCTAATTAAATTCGACTTTTTATTTTATAAATTTATATCAGAAAAAATTACAAAATATAAAGAAAATTATCAAAAGAAAAAATATATAAAATTTTAAAGAATTTGTCTTCAAGTGATTCTAAACAAAACACTTTTTAAGCTAGACTAAACTGTTTATCTTTACGATAAAAATTTCATATAAACCACAGTTCAAACATACATTTCTTATAGATAATATATTATTTTTAAAATATAATAATATATATATATTATTAATTCGATATGTGATTAAATTAAGTTTGTGACATTCACAAAAAGATAAACAAACAAACGTCCTTCACCTAAGAATGCTAAACGCCAAATTAGCAATTTAGGTTGTGAAGTTAAAAAATAGATTAAGTATTATAAGAAACAAAAATATCTGCGCCAATTTTAGTGTTTAAACAGGACATAGTATTCATAGTCACACCAACAGGTACAACGAAAGGAACACACACACGCACACACACAAAAAAAAACTATAGCAGGACACAAAAAAACTGTGAACGAAGAAACTGTGAAAGAATCAGCTGCACTTCACCAATTCTCACTCGAATGATAAACTGACTCT